TATCTCTGCTCCTAGCCCCTGGCCTCCATCTAATGGACATTTTTATACATAAAACAATAAAGAATTCTCTCTCAGCATGGCGTGATTAAAGGTTCCTCTCTCCTTTCTTCTTAGCCCACAGTGGCTCAGCCCCTCCTGGGTGGTTCTCACCACCCTGCCTGGAGCAGCACAACCAATATTGGCAGACTCACTTCCCAGTGCCAATATTTCTGTGCTGCTAGAGCCAGGGGGGCTGGGTGTGGGCAACAAAGATTCCACTTTGCTGTTAGCAGCCGGAATTTACTCCCAGGGTCAGGGTCACTGGCAGTCAGTATTCCTGAGACTGCCCATGGGATTTTGAAGGGGCTGTTCCAGGACTTTCATACCCTCTTCTTCCCCACCTCAAAAGAAGTTTATCACACAGCCCCAGATGTGCTTTGTGTTGCTTCTCCAGGGTGGCCTCCCAGGGCCAGGGCTCAGCGGTGCCTCCCCCACCCTCGCTCTAACACCACAGTGTGGTTTGGACGTGGCCACAGTGCCGTACAAACCACAGTGTGCTGCTGGGGCGGGAGCAGGACTGGGGTGGGCTGAGAAGAGAGCACAAAACAGTGCTGTAAAGACCCCTGCCTCCAGGAACATGGCCCTCAAAGAGCTTGGGAAAAACCGGGAACTAGGGACAAGTTGAGCAGGCAACTGGAAGGAAAAGGATGTATTAAGATTGGATAATAAATGTAATAAGATTGGAAGCATCTTCCCTCTTTGGAACTCAGCTTGGATCCCTAGTATGGGGTCAAAGGCAGAGGAAATAGAGAATGACTGGGGGGACCACCAAACTGCCTCCTGACTCAGCAAGGGCAGGGATCCAAGGCTTCCTGTGCCCGTTCCTCCCCTCCCTGGGTCAGAACCCAAGAGAAATGCTAGGAGGTACCAAGGGCCAAGGACAGCAGGGTTAGGAGTTGGCAGTCCAGAGGTGGTAGGGCAGAAACACAGTCGAGAGAGGGGGGCCGGAAGTTGCCCTGGGCCCTGGGCCTTGGGCCTGCCCCAAGATGGAGGCCAAAGGCAGGAAATGGAGGCCAGGGGGAGAGGGTAGCAGCAGGGCCTAGAAGAGGGCCATATGGACCTGAGAGCCAGGTATTCAAGCCCCAGTGCTGTTCCCACTCCCCATTACCCCCCAAGACCTATGTTCCATCCTCACAACAACACCCATTACCCTATCCACCAGGCCCAGACAGGCGGGTCCACCCCTGAGAACCACGTTTAAACTGAGACAAACATGCCTCTCCCCACCCCCAACCCTAGGCCTTCCCTTAGCCTTTTCCTCCTGTCCAGGACTTGATTTTTCAAAAGCACCTCCCAGAAAGCAAACTCCTTCTGCAACTCAAAATAATAAATACCCTGTAAAACCCAAATGTTATCTTGCCATATCCCATCGCACCTTTTACCACTCTCCCTCCCGACACACCCCCCAAAACTCTAGCAGCCAGGAAGATCTAAGATGGTGTAGGTAAGCAGTCTTTTTAGGCCCCCGAGGATGCCAGATTCCCTCTCCGAGACCCCAGTCTTTCCTATAGCAAACCCTCCTAAGCCCTCCTGCTCCTCTTTGCACCCTCCAGAACCCCCAAAACAACAACTGCCCCCAGCTCCACCCTCGGCAGAGCCTTTGTGGGGGTAAAAGAAATCAAACACTATCCTAACGGCTGGAGATGTTGAGGGCTCTCTGGTCTCAGGTTTTGGTTTCCATCTAAGGGACTACAGTTTGGGGGTGTAGGAGGGAGCCTCTTCAATAATCCCCCCAATTCCAAGACTGACAAAGCCCAACCCCACCCCAGCACGCACCTCCAAACCTCCCCCCCCAACCGCCACGTCTCTCCTGAAAACAGGGGACACTTCCCTCCCTACTTACCTCAGCTACTTTCCCCTGAGATCCTGGTCCCCTATTTTGAAAGGAGCAAATTTTGGGGTGCCATCCCTCACATTTGGGGTGCAGGAGAAAGGAGCCGCCCCAGTCGCATCGTTGGCCTCCTTCCTCTCGGCTGGCTCAGGGACTGGGGAGTGCCCTGGGGAGGGGGCACCCCCACAAGAGAGCTCTGGAGGGGGTTCCTCCACTCCCAGTTAAAACTGGGGACACCCCCCCAAAACCCGTCCCAGCCCATCCGTCTCCAACTCGGCGGGAGAGGCAGCTGCAATGCCCCAGTCAGATTCCCCCAACACTACATTCCTCACCCTATCTAGAGGGGTCCCGGGGCCCCCAAAAAATCCCAAAAAAATCTAGGATGTTGGGAAGACGGTCCTGGACTAGCTCCCCAAATTTGGGGTCCTTAGATACTCCCGTTTTTTCAGGAAAATTCTGTCTTTTGCCTGCCTCCCGCCAGCCCTGCTCTGTCCCGATGCCAATTTTGGAAGTCACTCCCTCCTTCCTCCTCCCCGTCCCTCCAGCCCCCCCACCGCTCGGGGGCTAGGGTCCAGGACACCTGGCTTCCAGACCAGGGGGAGGCACTCCTTAGAGGGCTAGGGGCCAGGAGGTCAAGCTCATAGCCCCTGTCTTAAGGAAGCAGGAAAGCCCGATCTTCCCTTCCCCTCCCCCCTGGCTGGTCTCCGTGGTGGTTTAGGAAAGCCTGGAGGATTGGAATCTGCCATTGCTGTTGCACAGGCAGTTTTTTTTTCCCTTGGGTTGGGGGGGGGTGGGCGGTGGGAGGGAGAGAGGGGAGGAGAGCCGAAGAGAGTGTGGACCCAGACGGGAAGAGCTGGCCTGGCTTAGCCTCTAGCCCCTGCTGCCGTTGGGAACCCCTCCCCCCTCGGCTCACCCACACTCTGTCGACTCTGTCTGCTTTCTGCTTGGGGCTCTTATCCTAGAAAATCAGGGTGCAGAGATCACCTCCTTCTACCTGCCCCCTTCCTTGCCACAGTCCCAGCAGCACAGCCCTGGTCAGGAGTGCCCACTTTACCGAGAGGCACCATTTGCCTCCACTTCCCCTAAGCTGAGGTATTCTTCCTCAAGAAGTTGGGGTTCAGAGTCTGAAACCATACTTTCCCCCTCAGATCTATCCAAACCACATAGTAATAAGTCCATGATAAGATATCATTCCCTTCCCAATGTCTCCCTTCAAGTCTTAGGCTTATTTGGGGGTTCATTAAAGAAAATTTTCCATATTCTGGGGTGACAGGGAGCTATAAGTAAGAGATATTCCAAACCAGAAATGTGCTCCAAAGTAAGTAAACTTTCAAATCAATCTCACCCTATGATCCATCCCTCAGCTTCACCAAATGTGCCCAGTGAGTGACAAAACACCCTAAAATAAGGACACCCCAAAACTTCAGTCTTCACTGTCCTTGGAGGCCCTCACCTGTTTCTCCTCTTGGATGAGAAGTTGGAAAAAGTTTCACGGCTATCCAGGCATACAGAGGAACATTCTCCCCTCAAAATAAGTTTCCACGAGACTCAAATTTAAGTATTCCCCTCAAAACCCCAAACACAGAAAGCCTGCACACTCATTCCCCGCTTCCTATTATGTTCCACCTCAGTGCAGTTTTTTTAAAAATCCAAATTTTATGTCTCCAACATCTGATCTGAGCCTTGAAATTGATATAGCACCCCAAAACAGACTGTACCCCCAAATCAGCATGAGTATTCTGACTTTCCCGAGAGTCCAAGATAACAGAGACTAACAGTGTCTCTAAGTGGTGGGTATCAAAACACCCAAAACTAGTGCAGCTTTAACACTGGCCCCAGGCCTCAAACTTACCTCAAGGCTAAATAAAGGCCGTACTGATGTAGCAATCAAGTCAACCCAGTAACTCAGGATAAACAGCATCCCACACTGACCAGCTAACACTTTACTCTGATAAGAGCCCTATTCTAATTCTCATCTCCAAGCTGGGCAGAGACCACAGTAACCCTCACCTGCCAAAGCCGCCTCACCACCCGAATCCTTATTCATCCCCAATTCCCAGGTTCTCTGCCTTTCTCTTTTGTTCCCACATGAAGATACATGCGAATTTGAACAGGATGGCTGCAGGCCTGGATGTGCAGCTCCAAAGCCAGTGCTCAGTCATTCCTGGGCAATTGTGTGTACTCCTGAGCCCAAATCCAAAGGGCTCCTGCTTTGCAGCTTACACCCAGCTCTGGCCCATTTTCTCCAGGTGAATCTTGGTCTCAATCCCAAATCTCCCCCCAAAATATATGAGGGTGTGGCCCGTGCCTATCTCTCAGATGAGGGCGTTAAATTAGGGTTTCCAGGCCTCTCTTACCCTCTCTTCCTCTTATTTTTCTGCTTGCTTATTTACCCCACGAAATTTCATATTATTGGCCACTAAAAATTCAACTCTTGAAATACCTAGATAATAGTATCTATTTTACCTAGAAAAGAAAACCCCGTGCTCTCTGGCTGAAGCCCCACTACCCGTCACACCCATATTCTCATTCCCAAACCCCGCAGATTTCCCACCTCAGTAGGAATTCCAGCCACAAGGAAAGCCCCTGTAATCCCTAACTTTACTTCCCTGTCTAACATCCCGCTGAGAGACAGAGGTGCAAAATAAACCATAGCAGGTTTCAGCCGCCCAGACCAAATCCATCCTGTGCCTGGGGCTGCAGCCGGGTGGAGATGACCTGGCGAAGCGAGGCTAGGGCTCGTCCGCCCCCTCGTGGAAGGAGCCAGGCATTGCCGAGCTTTGCCTACTTGCCGCGCTGGACCCCGGTGTCCCGCCAGCGGGATACCTTAAAGCGTAGCCTAGCGGCGGGTGCTCAAGACCCTACTAAACTGGGACTGAGGGACAGTGGACGGGCTTTGGGCGTCTCTCTAGGTCCCTAAAAGGACTCAGAAGAGAGGCGGGAGTGAGAGGCCGGACGCCTAGGTCTCCTGAGCGTCTCTCGGCCCCCACCCGGGGCTTTCCCCACCTCCTCAAGGGGAAGCAGCTGGCGGAGCCGTCCGGTCGCAGGACAATAGAAGGAAACCAACTAGAAATCATATCCGCCCTCTGCCTGCCCCGCCCGGCCAAAGCCCCCTTTTTGTGGGCTTTGCTGGGGGAGACTGTCATTCACACCACATCCTCCCACTAAGACCCCCACGGGAGCCCATCGGGGCCTCTTCAAACCTGACGCCTCACTGGGTTCCCCTTTGCTTCTGTACACAGTACATCGGAAGGGGGACTTTCGCTGCAATGACTTTGTCCTCCACCAGACTGCTGGCACCCCCTTCCAAAAGCCAACACCTCCATCGTCGCTGCTCCTTTCCGACGACGACCCAGGACCACCCCGTTTTCAACCTCGATCTCCCTAACCTCCTCCGTTCTTCCAATTTCCTCATCCTCGGGTCCACTTTTAGGGACTCAAAGCCGGGTCCTTAACGACCACCCTGCATTTCTGAGGTCCCGCCTTTGAGACGGAGACCCCGCCCCGGGCTCGCCATCTGGAGAGCGAGGGAGGAAGGAAGGATACCGACCCCGGCGTTCACCCCACCTCCACCCCCGCCCCCGACATCCCGGCCAGATAAAGGAGCCCAGACCGAGGGGAGCGAGACCCCGCCCCCTGGAGAAGAGGAGCCGCAGCCCCTGCAGGACGGGGGTAAGAACCACACTGCGGGAGCCAGACTCCAGGGACCCTCAGAAGGGTTGGGGGTCTGTTGATGGTAGGGAGACTGAGTCCCAGAAAGTGCCCCAAACTAGGATCGAGGATTGGCTAGAACTGCAGAATCCCTGCGGTTGGTGAAGGAGCTGCGAGTCGGATTTATAGGGGTGTGAACTGCAGGTCGTCTGGGGTCGCTAGGCAAGGTCAAGCTCTGAGACGCGGGCGCGCAGCGAAGCAGGGGAAAGAGAGCTGTGTGGTGGAGGCGGCGGAGGAGTCGAACCAGCCGCGAAGAGCGCTGGGCTCCGCGCGCGCCCCAGGGACGCGGCAGTGAGAACGAACCTTCATCTCCTCCGAGCGCTCTGGGATCTTACAGAGGGAGGAGAGCGGCGGCGCGGTTGAGAACAGAATGAGCCCGACGGTTTGAGTGGGGCTGAATGTGACAGGCCGGGGTCTTTTCGGGAGGAAAGGGGAGGCAGAAAAGGGAATGTGTCTTAGGACTGCCTGGATCCCGGAGTCCGCGCCGTGGCACCCGCAGGCTTGCGTCGCTATGGGTTCCGCCGCAGCACCCGAAGGCGCGCTGGGCTATGTCCGCGAGTTCACTCGCCACTCCTCCGACGTGCTGGGCAATCTGAACGAGCTACGCCTGCGCGGGATCCTCACTGACGTCACGCTGCTGGTTGGCGGGCAACCCCTTCAAGCACACAAGGCAGTTCTCATCGCCTGCAGGTTCGAGGGGAGGGGTTCTTGGGGATCAAAGAGTTTCGAAAGAGGCAGAGCGCTATAGCCCTCCATGTCTTCCGGGAGCCTGAGAGAAGCTGCCCCAAATGAGGGAGCGGGGTGAGAGTAGTGGCGGGACTTTGTAGGGGGCATGGTTTTCTGAAGCAGCCTGTGTCTTCCTTGAGCTCCTAGCCCCTAATGACCTGTTTGCCCTCTCTCTCTAGTGGCTTCTTCTATTCAATTTTTCGGGGCCGAGCAGGAGTTGGGGTGGATGTGCTCTCCCTGCCCGGGGGCCCCGAAGCCAGAGGCTTTGCTCCGCTCCTGGACTTCATGTACACTTCACGCCTGCGCCTCTCTCCCGCCACTGCACCAGCCGTCCTTGCGGCTGCCACCTACTTGCAGATGGAGCATGTAGTTCAGGCATGCCACCGCTTCATCCAGGCCAGGTGAGAGAGCCTTGGCTCCGTATTCATGAGTGAGGTGGTGCCCCGAGTGCTGAGGCCAAAGGTAATGTTTAGGAACCTGAACTAACGTCCATCACACTTCCCAGCTATGAACCTCTAGGCATCTCCTTGCGACCCCTGGAGGCGGAACCCCCTACACCACCAACGGCCCCTCCACCAGACAGTCCTAGGCGCTCGGAAGGACATCCAGACCCACCTACTGAATCTCGAAGCTGCAATCAAGGTCCCCCAAGTCCAGCCAGCCCAGACCCTAAGGCCTGCAACTGGAAAAAATACAAGTTCATCGTGCTAAACTCTCAGACCTCCCAAGCGGGGAGCTTACTGGGGGAGAAGGATTCTGGTCAACCTTGCCCTCAAGCCAGGCTCCCCAGTGGAGACGAGGCCTCCAGCAACAGCAGTAGCAGTGAAGAAGGATCCATTCCTGGTTCCCAAAGCAGGTACAGAATCTCAGCTAGAAGGCAGTCATTGGGTCTGTGTGGTCAGGAGACAGTGAAATGTGGCTGGGTTTCAGAGACATTAGCCCACCATACAGAATTGAGCAGAGGCCAAGCTGAGTCAGTGGGATGGGACTTTGACTCATCAGTCAATATTAATTCACCTCCAGAGAATGGACTTTTGCCTTCAAATTCTCCAGGAGGGAAAATCTAATCTCTCCTAACCTTTTCTCCTGGACTTGCCTTCTGCTCAGACTCTCTCCAACTGCTGCCATTGGGAAATTCAGATGTGGAGCTCCAGCCGGTAGCCACTATGTCCTCACACCCCAGGCTCAGGAGACTACTGCATCACCCTCTGAGCAGGCTCGTCCACCACCAGGTAAGAGAGCTTCTTTTCACCCTTTCCTCCTGTGACTGCTTCAGGCCACTTTGGATCAAAGGTTTTCAAGAAAAGCCTGCTAATGATTCCTAAACTTTACTGTAAATTACCATCACTTGGGAGGCCTTTAACACTCCCATTGCCTGGATCACACCCCATAGATCAGAATATTTGGAAGTAGGTATCAAACATCAATTTGGGGGGTTATTTTCTATTTTGGCATCAGTATTTTTTAAAGCTCCCCAGGTGCTTGCAGTGAGCAGCCAAGTTGGAATTTTTGGCCTGTCCCTACCAAGGCTGAGTGGTCTGTGCAGGGCTGTGGCAGAGTCTCTCTGGCAGGCTGTCAATCCCAGTGGTGCAAAAGAGAAAAACAGAAGCATTGGCCCACTAGGAGAGGCTTCTACTTATCACCACTACTGTTGAAAAGAATAGCACAGTACTCTGGAATCACAGAGATGTGGAATTCCATCTTGGTTCATCTCACACACACACTCCACCCCATACTGGGAATTGAACCCAGGGATACCGCTGCAGCACATTATTATTTTGAGATAAGTTGCCTCGGATAGGCTTGAACTTTCAGTCCTCCTGCCTCAGCAGAGGCACACAGAATGCTGGGACCACAGGGCTCCTTGGTTCACTTGACAATCTTCTTGCTAACAATATGGCTTGGGCTGAAGAAGACTTCACAGTAAACCATAAAGAAGAAAACTTACTGCGGTGCAGTTTGAGGAGTCACCAGTACCTAAGAAGCCCTCAATAAAAATACAAAACAAAAAACATAGTTGCTGTTACTCACACATCCCTCCTTAACCTCCCTTCCCAGGAAGTGAGTTTTTCAGCTGCCAGAACTGTGAGGCTGGGTGCTCATCGGGGCTGGACCCCTTTGCTTCTGGGGAGGAGGACAAGCCTTATAAGTGTCAGCTCTGTCAGTCTGCCTTCCGCTACAAGGGCAACCTGGCCAGTCACCGCACAGTGCACACAGGTAGGGGAGGAGAGGGTCTTGGCCTTGGTGCCCACCGCTATCATCTGGTAACATTCCTGACCTGTCATTCGCCCTGCTTGCAGGAGAAAAGCCCTACCATTGCTCCGTCTGCGGAGCCCGATTTAACCGGCCAGCTAACCTGAAAACACATAGCCGCATCCATTCTGGAGAAAAGCCGTACAAGTGTGAGACTTGCGGTTCCCGCTTTGTACAGGTAGGGAGCCAGTCTCCAGGAGAGTTCAAAGGCTAGAGGCTAGAGTGGCTAACAAAGGCTTCTGACCCTTCAAGGGGTGCGGTCTGAAGGTTCTTCACTCCCTAGGTGGCCCATCTGCGTGCGCATGTGCTGATCCACACTGGAGAGAAGCCCTATCCTTGCCCCACCTGTGGAACCCGCTTCCGTCACTTACAGACCCTCAAGAGCCACGTTCGCATCCACACAGGAGAAAAGCCTTACCACGTGGGTACCCAGAGTGGCCCAGCCTCAGAATTACCTCCCATTTAGCTAGGGACGGGGTTTTGAGAGGAGCCGGCTTGCTACCTCTAGATCGCTAAGAAATGGGTTGCAGTTTGCAGAGTCCTGTGAGTATGGGGCAGAGGGGGGGTGGGGTGGGAATGGAGGTAGCCGCACCTCAAGAGTGAATGCAGTTTTCCCCGAAGAGGGGCTGAGGAGAGGGAAATCTTTTTCTAAATAAAGCAAGACCAATCTCCTGGGCACCTCTGAGGATTTAGAAGAATGTAAGGGCCAAAGACCTAATTTTCAGTAGAGAGCTGGACAGTTCCCTTCACTCAACTCTTAAATTGTAAACTAGAAGTGACCTGACCCAGCTGTCCTCCTGCAGTGCGACCCCTGCAGCCTGCATTTCCGGCACAAGAGTCAACTTCGGCTGCATCTTCGCCAGAAACACGGAGCTGCTACCAACACCAAAGTGCACTACCATATCCTGGGGGGGCCCTAGCTGAGCACTGGCCCATGTCGCATTTGTTTCCTGGAGGATGGGAAAGTGCGGGCTCTGGCCTGGCTTCCCATCAGTCTCGGTATGGGGCTGTGCAAGACAATTCTGATGTCAGAAACTGCTGCCACCTTAACTTCTTGCTGGGGAGAGCAGGGGTGGCAGATCCTGGCTAGATCTGCCTCTGTTTTGCTGGTCAAAACCTCTTCCCCACAATCCAGTTTGTCTAGCTAAAGGTTGGAGGAAGAGAGAGAATGGAGGCCTGGTTTCCTTAAGGAAACAGCCCTCTACCTACAGCCCCCAATCTCATCTAGTTTATCTGTAAATATAATTTATTGAGGCCATTGGGTTGCACCAGGGCCTTCACTCTGTTGCATTTCCCAGTTCCCTCTTCTATAAGTTTGATCAAAAGTGACCTGAAACAGAGAAAGTGAGGTCACAGCTCTGCTGGCAGAGATTAGCACTTGGCTCTGTCCTTTGGCTTGAGTGTTTTTATATGGTTTTGTCATAACTTTTATCTTTAGAATTGTTCTTTCTCTTGTTTGTTCACTTGTTGGTTTAAGTGGAGAAATGGGTTCTCTGTGTTCTGCCCCTCCATTTTCTAGGTCTGGAAACTTTGTTCTTGGCAAGCCCTGGGAGCTTGTGGAATTGGGACAGGGACCCTTTCTGCTATTCTCTGGCAGGACAGAACTGAATATAGACCAATGATGGTGAACCTTTTCGAGCTTTCAATGATACAAACAGCCCCTGTGACACCTGTGCCATAGGTTGGCCACCACTGACATATAGACTCTTCTTTATTCTTCAAGCATTGTAGAAATGTTTATTGTGAGCCTGAAAATGAGGTAAAAAAAATGCCTTCTGCACGATGGGGGTGTGGGCACTGGATTCTGTATTTCCTGCTTTGTTTTATTTTATAAAGACACAGTCTTCTTCTGTAGTCCAGGCTGGCTTTGAACTCATTATGCAGCCCAGACTGGCCTTGAACTCAAGATCCTCCTGCTTCAGCCTCCCAAAGTGAGGCTGGTAGTCTTTCCTATAAGATGGTTCAGAACCTAAACTGTCCTATTAACCTAGTCACCTGGGTTTGGCCATACTACATGCACTATATGCCTCTCTCACCCAAGCCCATAAGTCTTACACTGGGGCTTTTTCTCAGCACTGAGATGATCCCTCCATAGAGAGATCTGAAAAGCCTTATCAGGGATGATGTGACCTTTTCCGATTCCACCTCTTTTGTGTGGTGTGACCTAGGGCAGAATTATGAAACTCTGTACTCTAACTAAAGAGTCATGATCCATCCATTACTGCTGAGGTATCTGGGTTTGAATATTCCTTGATGTTCTTGCTTCCTGTGATGACCCCCTTCTTGCTTGTTTTTGTACATCTTTGGGCAAGGGTTCAGATTCCAAACAACTTCTTTGCCCCTAAAAGTCACAAGTGCTTGGTAACTTTCTTACCTTAGAACAGCTGGGTCTGTGACACAGTGTTCCTATCACTGCATTCCTGTCTGGAAGGAACCAGTGAATGCACTAGAACCTTCCAGAAGAAGGAAAAATGGGGCTGAGTTCCATTCTGGATTTGTTTAAATTTTTGGATTATGACTGGGATTATTGTTGGGATTACAGATTGGAGAGACTTAAAAGACTGGTTGACTCATGGGCCAAAGACCTCTTCTAGTTGACCAAGCTGCCAGGTAGGATGAAGAGGCTGGTTGAGGGCTACAGTTTCTGGTATAGAACAGGTTGGATGAAAGTTAGGATTGGTGTTGCCTCTTGGCTAAAACGGAGCGTCTAGAATGTTAGATAATACTTTGAAGCTTTGATGTATAGTTCTGACCCTTGTTGCCCTGGACCTATTTGATTATAGGACATGGGTGGACATAGCACTTTTGAATTTGTAGGGTGGAACTCCTCAGATCAGTACTTGTGGGTGTCACTTGGGGACTGGTGAGAAAGTTACTCTTCTTTCTTTTTGCATTTTAATTCCCATCACCCAATTGCACAATTGAAGAAGAAGGGAGGGAAAGTAAAAGAGAAATGTGAGAAGGAACCATGATTTCTTTTTATCAGACTGGATTGGCAGGTGAAAAGTGCCTGGGTATGGAAGTATTACATTTGGGGAGATCAGATCCTTGGAATAAAGAAGCCTCTTTGCGTTACTGCTATGTCCTGGATTCTTGCCTGGGGGTATCTGGGTCTTGGAAAGAGATTGCTTCCCTCCTGAATAGTATCTGGGATTCTGTACTCATTTTACTATCCTATCCCACCAGACATCTTAAGTATTCTCCCCTCCCAGTCCTTGCCTTCCGGTATATTGTGTAGGAATCAGTGACTTCATGAAGTTTCTCCGGAGCCACCTGTATCCTGCTAGTCTGAAGTCACTTCCTGCCTGAGGTATGGAGGCAGCAGGGAGAAACTAGGAAACTACTAGAAATATCAAGAGGTGGGGGATGGATGTTTCTCTGCTCTGGATCTTAATTTTGGGGACACTATACCATCACCACCACCAAAGAAATAGGACTTGGATCCCATAAGGACAATGGGGTCTGGAGGCAGCAGTGAGAATACTGGGTAGTTGAAAGCCAGCATCCCAAGTCCAGCCTTCTCTTAACAATAGTACCTTGGAATCTATCCAGTGTCCAGTGCATGTGCATCTCTCACCCTTTCCCCTGTCCTATGTGTCTCCTGGGTGCACAGCTCTGTTCTTGCCCATGAGCAGAAATCACTCATTCTAATAGAATCTCCTTTTAGGCCTTAAATTCTTCTGTGATAAAAAACAGTTAACATAGCCTTTGCCATTTCCTCCAAGTGTTACAAATTGTGGTTGTGTTTCTTAATCATTTAAACCCCAAGACCGGGATTAGACTTTTTAAAAAAACCTCCCCCAAACTAAACTACAACCTTATTCACTTCTCACTACAGCTGTTGAAAATAAAATCAGCTTATTACTTACCCTGTGCTAAATGTCATACCCTAACCTAAGCATTTTAGTATGGATTTACTAATTTAATACACCTGGCAACCATTAGAAAATTAGGCAGTATTATCTGCAATTTACAAATAGAGAAACCATTTGAGAGCTTCAGTTTCTTGACCAAGTTAATAAGTGATGAAATAAAGATTGGAACTGTGATCTGATTCTAAACTCTTAACCACTAAAAAAAAAAAAAAAAAAAAAAAAAAA